GTTGAACATTTTCCCGTGTATTATTCTCCTTCACTATACCTCTGTATTTATACAGGAAAAGGACTTGAAAAACAGAAAAACAAACCTATAACAAACCTGAAGAATGAAGAAAAGCGTGTCTATCCTAGTAGGCAAAATTGGTAATCTACAAACCGGAAATAAAATAGAAATCAGTAAACCATAAACATAACCAGAAATGTACGAAGCTTCTCTGTAAAACAGAGTCTTCCAGTAAAGACTCAGAGGACCATAGAAACAACAGAGTAAGTAAGCAGAGGTTGATATTTCCGGTTTGATACTCCCCTTCAAGATGGGGAATGTAGATCGAAAATCCCCATCTTGCCCAATAGATTGCGAAATAAATCACCTGCCAGTGGTTTAGTCAAAATGTCGGCAATCTGGTTTTTAGAATTGATATCCAGAGGCTTCAGAAAACCAGATTTCAAATGCTCCCGGATAAAATGGCAGTCAATCTCAATATGTTTGGTGCGCTCGTGGTAGACGGGGTTATTGGCGATGTGAATAGCGGACTTGCTATCGCAAAACAAAGTGACAGGTTCCGGAAAGATAACCTTCAATTCTCGAAGAAGACCAGAAATCCATATAAGCTCCGAGATTGCCTGTGCCATAGCACGATATTCAGATTCTTCGCTGCTCCGGGATACTGTCTTTGTTTCTTTGATTTTCAACTGATCAAAGAAGTGCCAATAAACATACAGAACCCGGTAATTGATCGTCTAGTATCTGCACATGTAGTCTAATCCGCATCTGCATAACCACTCAAACGAATGGTAGAATCAGTAGAATATAGTAAACCTTGAGCTGGAGCTGACTTGATATAGCGCAATAGGCGATAAGCGGCGTCAAGGTGATTGGATCTGGGATCAGACATATATTGACTGAGCTTCTGAACCGAAAACGAGATGTCGGGACGTGTGACGGAAAGATAAATGAGTTTTCCAATGAGTTTGCGATAGAATGTCGGATCAGGCAAAGGATTTCCAGAATCTGAAGTCAATTTTACCTTGGGATCCATGGGAGAAGCACTTGGCTTGTAGGCTAACATTCCAAAATCTTCTAACAACTCCAAAGCGTACTTTCTTTGGCAAATATGAATACTAGATTTCGACCTAGCTATCTCAAGTCCAAGAAAGTAGCGTAAGATACCCATATCCTTCAGCAGAGAATTAGAGCACAAGTATTTCTTGACATCAGAGATCAGAGACTCATTGTTACCAGCAATCAACAAATCATCAACATATACCAATATCGCAACAAAACCAGTGTCATGATGTCGAAAAAACAAAGAATTATCTGCTTGGGACTGAGAAAAACCACCTGACAGTAGAACCTCGCAAAGCTTGATGTTCCACTGACGTGAGGCTTGCTTAAGCCCGTAAATTGATTTGCGCAACTTGCAAACAGAATTATTAGGAATTGACTCCTCCTTAATCTCTGAATATCCTGGTGGTAATTGCATATATAATTCTTCACTTAAATCCCCATTTAGGAAGGCATTAAAGACATCCATTTGGTGAAGAAACCAGTTATGACATGCGGCAAGAGCTAAGATAATTCTGACAGTAGACATCTTCGCGACAGGACTAAATGTGTCCAAATAGTCGATTCTTTCCTGTTGTGAGTAACCCTTCGCAACCAATCTGGCCTTATGCTTGTCAACTGTGCCATCAGCATTGTATTTCACTTTGAAGACCCATTTACAACCAATGAGATGTTTGCCAGGAGGAAGAGCACATAAATCCCAGGTTCTAGTCCGAATTAGTGCGTCCAACTCAAGAAGCATAGCATTTTGCCACTTATCACATGCAGCAGCCTGTCTGTAGGTTCTTGGTTCGGATTTAGAAATGATGGAGAGGGAAAAGTATTTAAAAGAGGGGGTAAGGTTAGAGTAAGAGATATAGGAAGAAAGAGGGTAAGTGATAGAAGAAGGTGAAGGTGGAGGGGTGTGATGGGAGAGGTGATAGCAGTGATAGTCCAAAAGGTAGCGAGGAGCATGAATCATACGCTGTGATTTTTGAATAGTTTCTGTGGGTAGTTGAGCAGATGAAGAAGGTAAAAGTAAAGAAATCTGAGTATCAGTAGGAGATGATTCTGAAACATGATCAGAAATGAGAGATCCTGAAACATGATCAGAAGCAGGGGGTTCTGAAATATGGACAAAGGAGTCCAAATGTTCAGGAGTAATGGTAGAAGGGACATAACTGTCATAATACTGAATTAAGACATGATTAGGAGGAAAGAAATCAATAGAAGAACGGGGAAGAGGACTTGAGGAGAAAGGAAATATAGTTTCTTAAAACGTAACATTTCGAGAAACAGACACTGAATTGGTGTTAAGGTTGAGCACTTTATAACCTTTAACCCCAGGAGGATAACCTAAGAACACATGAGGAACAACTCTTGGTGAAAACTTGTGACGATCTTTGTCATGCGTAGAGACATAGCAAAGACATCCAAAGGATTTTAGATGAGAATATGAAGGTTTCGAATCCGTTAAAACCTCAAATGGTGACTTATTGTTCAGAATTGGAGTAGGGATGTGGTTTATAAGATAAACGGCAGTCAATACACAATCTGACCAATAAGCCAGAGGGATATTGGATTGAAATAAAAGAGACCGAGCCACATTTAGAATATGTTGGTGTTTCCTCTCAACAACAGAATTTTTTTGAGGGGTATAAGGGCAAGAACGGTAATGAATGAGGCCATGTTTCGAGAAGAGAAGGAAAAGAAAGTTCTTTGGCATTATCAGATCTGAAACTTTTGACAGACTTGCCATATTAAGTAAAAACATGGGCCAAAAATTCAGGAAAACGAGAGGTAACGTCACTCTTATTACGTAGTAGATAGATCCAAGTAACTCGGGTACAATCATCCACGATACTTAAGAAATAACGATGACCATAAACAAAGCAAATATGAAAAGGTCCCCATATGTCAAGATGTAGAAGTGAAAAGGGTTCTGAAGAGAGTTTCCCGGAAGTAGGAAAAGACTGTTTCCTTTACTTGGCAAGCGGACATATGGAGCAACGGGACTGTGGCTCAGTGGTGTGAGTAAACTGAAGTTGGGAAGACGAACCAAGAGTTTGGACTCGTAAAAAAGAAGGGTGACCCAATCTGATGTGCCATAGATCGAGAGGAGCATAAGTTGCAAAAGTTGTACAATGGCGTAAGATATTGAAGTTGTTAATCAAATATTTTGGAATGTAGAATTTATAAACCGAATCTAATAATATTGAAATTAAAATTTGAATTTAAAATTTGATTATATATGAATTTTATTGAATAAAATTAAATAAATTTGATTTTGAATATTAAAATAATTGAAAAGGTAAATAAAAATATAAATTTTAAGAATAAAAACTCAATGACAATAGAATCCATACATTGGGATAGAACTAAATTTCTATATAAGATTGAATGTATAAAGATGGAATGAATATATGTCTTTTGAAAATTATAACTTGAAAATAATAAAACTAATAGGGATTAATTTGAATGTGCAAAGTTTAAAGGTGATTCAATTGAACGTCATTTATAATACTTCATGATCAATCTAAAAATAATAATAAAACTAAAATCCAAAATAATTAATATAATTGCATTTAGGTTTATTTACGATAAGCTGTGCAATTTAAAATAAACAGCAAGAAAAATGAAATTTTTTTTTCTTTGCACGTATACATTCGAAGACAAACCCTAAGATGAAAGATCTACTCGCAAATAATGACAAAAATGCCAATAAGCATATAATCTAATATAAGATTTGCATTCAAAAAACATACGTGGAGGGTAAAGTACACGTGTCATGTAAGGATGCAAGTGAATACCAAATTCTCAAAAAATAATTATAAAAGGAATATTTCAGAATTTTGGAATACATAGGATTTGCTTGCTTTGTTTAATCGGAAAGTATAGCGATGTTTTTTGCTTTTTATTCCCTGAAATGTATTGTGATATCGTAAAAAATGTTAGATTTTCTAAAAATAAATCCTATAATAGGGCATTTATTAAAGTTGACCATTGTTTTTACTTGATATATATATATATATAGCTTGAAAACAAAAACATTTTTCAGACCAAAAAGTACATATTATTATGGAAAAATAACAATATTGATTTGGTTAAATAATATTTAAATAAAAAAAAGTTTTAACTCTTATCTTTATGCAACAAAGGGCGCACTCTTTATTTGATTTCCAAGTTTTTTTTTACAACTGTTAAAACATAAAATTTAATATAATATTACATTATCTGCGAAATTATAATATGTGGTGGTAGGTTTATATATATATATATATTGGTAAAAGTGGCAGATTTATATTGTACGCAATTTAAAAAAAAAGAACGTTCTAAGGAAAAATGGGAATATATATTTTTTATTCTTAGCTTGAGCAAAATTAATATTCCAAAGATGTGGGCTGGGTTAGAATCTGGTTCAAAGCATTTTTACAACGTCTCTTGTAATTCAAATACTTATTTATTTATTTATTATGTTCCGTTCTGTTTTATGAACCGATATTAACACAAAAAAAATGAAATAGATGGAATCTATATTACTTACGGAAAAAGAATAAGAAAACAAGCACCCCTAAAAAAAAATGAAACACGAGAAATTAATCCTCGTTGTCTCCTTCCTCGCGCAAAGCATCTCTCCGACTAATTCAAAGCTTTTTCTTCACTAATCAGGGATTAAGCAACTTAATCACAAATTTAATTATCTAACATAATATCCATAGTAATAAAAAGTACTAAATAAAAAACATTAAGAGATAGGGCAATTTAAATTGTTTTCTCTTTTAACAGATAAGCTGAAAAGTAAATAAAGTATTATGTTCAAATGTTCGAACTTTGTGCTTAATCAGATAGCAAGGCATTAATTAACTTAATCCATATTCTGTCTCGTCAGCTCTCCGTTGTCTCACTCTATTAGTAGAGAGAGAAAGCACTGTAACAGCATTTAAATCCCAGTCTCTTTCGTTCTCTCTCTAGAAACCCCCCGATGTGTTCTGATACTTTCTCTCTCTAGGTTAGCTTCATCTCTCTCTCCATATGTATGCGCGTGTGTAGATATGCCCTGTGGAACTCTGATTTTGGAAACCTTAGAGCATTTGGATCCCGAGAACTCTGAGCTCTGTCGTCTCTGGATGTGATTTTTCCGCATTGTTTCTCTCTCTGCAAATCTGCATTATTTAGCTCAGTGCTACTCTCGTTCTCTATCTATACTTATCTGTGTATCTATTCGTTGTTTGTATAGGTGTATCTAGCCTTGCTGTGTTTCGGGAACCTAGTGTTTGGATCCTGAGGGATTTGGATGTGTGCGTGAGGAAAGCGAAGGATCAGATCGGAGATGGCGGAGGTTTCGGGCGACGGAGGTATGTCGGCGCCGGAGACAGAGCAGGCTGCGCCTCCGCAGCCGCTGATGCCGTCGGCGTCCTTTAAGGAAAGCGGCGGTGGTAAAAGCTCGTCGAGACGGAGGCCGGTGAGGCCGAGCTTCGATGCCGCCGCCGACAATGAATTCATCACGCTTCTCCATGGCTCGGATCCAGTGAAGGTGGAGCTCAATCGGCTCGAGAACGAACTTAGGGGTGAGGAAATGCTACTCGATCTGGTGGTTTTTGTGTCGATTCAGATCTAACCCATTGTTATTGCACTCGTGTTTACTTCTGCATTATCTATTGTTTTGTGCTTCATCTTTTCGCCTAAATACTCTATCAAAATGCAGACAAGGAACGAGAATTAGGCGAAGCACACGCCGAGATAAAAGCTTTGAGGTTGTCTGAGAGGCAGAGAGAGAAAGCTGTTGAAGAGGTATACTGAGTATCTGTTCTTTTTTTCTTTTTTTCATTTTGGGTCCATATCGAAAATTTTCTCTGTTCTTTTTCAACATATATGCATCCTTTTTTGGTGACAAATCTGTTTGTGGTACTTGCCTAGAGGTTCAAGAATTATTTTATCATCGTGAGAGATACATATACGTTGGATTAGCTACTATGCAATGTTGTTAGGAAAACGTCGGAGTTCAATTGTCATGAGTTACTGCACTTGGTTCGATCAATTACTGTTTCCTGATTTTGTCGAGAATTTTATGTTTGTTGACGAATCTCTTAAATGTAGTTTTCCTTTTGACGTGCTCTTCTTTGTCTGATTCATTCGATGTTTCTTTCTGTGCTTCTCGGGAGTTGACTCTTCTTTCCCCGTGTACTCTGGAACATTAGCTCACTGACGAACTTGCTAAGTTGGAGGAGAAGCTCAAGTTGACTGAATCCCTTCTTGATAGCAAAGTATTGACTGTGACCTCTCCTTGATCCCAATTATGCTTCCCTTCCTCTTTCATGCTGCTATACTTATTTATGATTATCATCGAGCATTGCAGAACCTAGAAATCAAGAAAATCAATGAGGAAAAGAAGGCATCAATGGCTGCTCAGTTTGCAGCTGAAGCCACCTTGAGGAGGGTCCATGCTGCTCAAAAGGATGATGACATGCCTCCAATTGAAGCCATTCTAGCCCCATTAGAAGCTGAACTTAAGCTTGCACGACAAGAGGTATTTCCATTCCCTTCCAGTCTACTTGCTTGTTTTCTACTTCCTATGATGGCATGCTATTGTGTGACACGTTTGGTCACTGATTACCTGCATTGTTTCTGCATAGATTGGGAAGCTTCAAGACGACAACAGGGCCTTGGATCGTCTGACTAAACAGAAGGAAGCTGCCTTGCTTGATGCTGAGAGGACAGTTCAAGCTGCCCTGGCAAAAGCTGCCATGGTCGATGACCTTCAAAATAAGAACCAAGAGTTGATGAAGCAAATAGAAATTTGTCAGGTGTTGTGTCCATCTCCTATCTGTTGTAATTAATTAATCAGGCTTGTGATTCTTCCTACCCATCTTGTATTGATCTTTTTTGTAATGCATTAGGAAGAAAACAAAATTCTAGACAAAATGCACAGACAGAAGGTTGCCGAGGTTGAAAAACTTACCCAGACTGTACGGGAGCTGGAAGAGGCTGTCCTTGCTGGTGGAGCTGCTGCAAATGCTGTGAGGGATTACCAGCGCAAAGTTCAAGAGATGAATGTAACTAGTCACAATTCAGAAGATTGCCAAAATGAACATTAAGTCTAGCTTCTTACATAGCACTAGACAACTGATGAAGTGATGAGCCTTATTGAAACCTTTCAGGAAGAAAGAAAAACTCTTGATCGGGAACTTGCACGTGCAAAGGTTACGGCAAATAGAGTTGCCACAGTGGTGGCAAATGAATGGAAAGATGGTAATGATAAAGTGATGCCTGTGAAGCAATGGCTAGAAGAAAGAAGGTTTCTACAGGTTCATTTTGATATGATGTTTCATCTCCCAAACTCTTGGGTTGCAGCAGATTCTTTATTACGGAAGGAGCTCAGCACACTTTACATTCTCAATTCTCTACTCTTTTCTTGCAGGGAGAAATGCAACAACTTCGTGATAAGTTTGCCATAGCAGAGCGAGCTGCTAAATCTGAAGCGCAACTAAAAGTAATGAACTTACGTTTTGTTTGTTCTCTGATCTTCTTATACTGAACCAAAATTAAAACATTTTACATGCAACGATCGCAGGAAAAGTTTCAGCTGCGGCTAAAGGTGCTCGAGGACACTCTGAGAGGAACATCAAGCAGCAGCACGAGGAATACAACCGAGGGAAGGAGCATGAGCAATGGACCCTCTCGTAGACAGTCGCTTGGCGGAGCTGACAATATCCAAAAGCTTACATCAAATGGCTTTCTGTCCAAGAAAACTCCGGCTCCAGCTCCTCAGTTGAGACATTCCTTATCTTCTAATTTCACTTCTGCGTTGAGGAATGTGAAAGGCACGTCTAAATCATTCGATGGAGGGACAAGATCCTTGGATAGGGGGAAAGCTCTCTTAAATGGTCCTGGGAATTATTCCTTCAACAAGGCTTCTGATGAAGCCAAGGAAGGAGAGTCTCCTAATTCCTGGAAAGAAAATCCAGAGGAGGAGAAGCCACCGAGTGAGAACCCTACACCAGTGACCGAGGACAGTGTCCCTGGAGTTTTGTATGATTTACTACAGAAGGAGGTCATTGCCTTGAGGAAAGCTTCTCATGAGAAGGATCAAAGCCTCAAAGATAAAGATGATGCCATAGAGGTAGAATTCTACATTATGCCATAAAAACTGCTTGCTGACGTAAGTGTAATATATGAGTTTTTTTTAGATGTTAGCAAAGAAGGTGGAAACATTAACAAAGGCGATGGAGGTTGAAGCGAAGAAGATGAGGAGGGAAGTATCTGCAATGGAGAAAGAGGTCGCTGCCATGCGTGTGGAGAAAGAGCATGAGAATAGAGCCAAAAGGTTTTCAAATACCAAGAGCCCATCTAACAGCGCTCAGATTCTTGCTGGAAGGTATCTTCGTATCCATCCAGTTCTCACTTCCTAATGCTTTTTGGTTTCTCTGTGACCCCTCATTATTTTGTCCTGTTGATTTGTATTTTTGCACCCTATTTTTAGTAATGATAAATAACATGTTTATGGGCTTTGATGACGAACCATAGAACCTTGAACTATAAGAGAGGTTGTTTGCCTCAGTTTGGTTTCCAGAGTGGTCAATCACCAGATCTATTACCATGATTGATAAGAGACTTAAATTATGTTGCAGAGCTGCTGGAAGAAGCGGGTTAACGAGGAGTACCCAATGAGGGAGATTCTGATCATAATCAGAAATAACAAGTAAAACCGTTAATAGGTTTGTGATCTTACGCTATTCACTTGGGGTTTTTTTCTTTTCCTTTTTCTTCATGTGATTCATTGTCATATCACATAACTTAAAAAGCATGCTGATGAATGATCCCGTCCTCGCCCTCCGGAAAAAGAAAAACAAAGAGAAGAGAAATGATGGGTTGTTGCTTCTGACGTAGAATCGGATTAGTCTGGTTAGAGGAGGAGAAGGGAGGAAGAGAAGAAACAGATGAGAGGGGAGATGATGATGTTTGACATATTTGGCTTGACATTTTTAAACCCTTAATGGTTGTCTGGTTGGTTTGTATAGGGTAGCTTTTGTTATTTGTCTCTCTGGAGGGAGAGAGAGAGAGAGAGAGAGAGAGAGAGAGAGAGAGAGAGAGAGAGAGAGAGAGAGAGAGAGAGTGTGTGTGTTTTGTGTGCTTTTACACTTAGTTCCTATGGGTCGTAGCGCTCTTTTAAGTATACAATGTATTCTGCTTTCGGGTGTGTGATTATTATTGCTTTGTATCACATCTCTCTGGTCTTTATTTGTGTCTCTACAGATGGTCACAGTTATGGTATCGCTCACTGCTTAGGCTCCCCTTCGAGAATTGCATCTTTGTTTCTAGTGTGCCATAATCACTACTTGTCCTACAATAATTCGAAAATACATGACACGAAACACCAAGGGTTTTCGTTGCCACACAATCATTCACAAAACCTGCATTTGCGACAACTTTTGGCCGTTGCAAACTATTGGAAAACTGATTGGTTCATTCGTTAAATATCTTTGTTTTAAAAAAATATTATTTTTATAATTTATATATTAAGTCGTGGCAACAAACTTTTGAACTACAACAAATTCATAATAACTGACAACACCAATTTATCAATCATTCACAATTGTTAAAAAACACAACGAAAATGGTTGTAATAATTATTACAGAGGCAATGATATACCCGGTCGAGTCCTAAATCCAAATGATTGGTTACGAAATCAATCAACTTCTGAAATTCTTTCTCAACAATGTTTGCTTTTAATAACTTGTTGTGGAAACATAATATATATTTATCCAAAATTAACCCACTTCTCGTAATCCATAGTCTTTCACAAGAGGAATGTTATGATCTTAAAGCAGTATAGTAAGAAACTCAAAACAATCAAACAAGATCATATTATACAAAAGACGTGATTCCAGTTGGAAATGATTCGTTACTCACTCTAGTTTTGATGTGAACGATAATGTATCTAGTAATTTACCTAAAGATTCGGAAGATGATAAGTATAGTGATCGGGTTTATGCTCGGTAGATACCAGATTTCGACGATTCAAGTTGAAGATGTCGGAGATTTCTCTAACATGGTATTTTATACATAAAGATGATGCTTTATGTTTTTTGTGTCTTGTTGGTTGAAAAACAAACGAGAAATCTTTCTTCGGTTGGAAAAATGATCATATATTATAGTTTGGTTTAAATTATAATGTTAAATTATTTCGGGAGAAAGAAGATTTTGTAATAGAATATTAATCACAAAGGGGATGATTAATCTTCGGAAAAGTGATTGATATGTTTATATTTCACGGAATAACTTGGTAAAAGGTTATTGTGAGATATGAATTGAATACCGGCGAGATACAAGTAGAATACCAGTGAGGTATAACTGGGAATAATAATAAAAGTTATCATTGTGGAAAATGGTATGAATACATATTGTACAATGATATAAAGACATACATGTTAAATCATAGCTATGTGAAAAATGTTTGTATGTCGGTTATTTTGTGCAAAAGAAAAACGATTGACGGAAATTGTCAATGTTATTGTGCACAAAATGATTTAGGGATGAGAACAAAGCCTTAACATTAATAACAAATAAAAGGATCTTTACTCAACATCTAATACAATGTTAGATGTTGAGTTCAAAGAGTTAAACCTTTTATTATTGTGATTGAAAGCACACAAATAAAAATCATCCCAAGGTTGGTGAATTGAATATTATGCAACGCAAAGGAGGTTAGAAGTTTTTCTTGATAGATCTTTTGAAAAAATGTTGAGTTGCACAACATGATCTTCTCTAAAAGGTCTACCTATATGAATGCGAAATTTGGCCACTTCAAAATGCTTTATGGATTGGCATCTATGCATTAATGAATGGATATGGACACGTGGCCTTATAAAAGTGTCACGATAAGCAAAAATTTGTATTGATTTTGTGTGTTATGTACTTCGTATCTCAACAGGATTACGAGGTTCAATCTGTAAAAATACATACATAACTCGAGTTATTAAAGTATATTTCACTACGTGAAAGTTCAATCGTTTCGATACTATCCACTTATGCAGAAAATTGGAAAAATGTATGAAAAACCCTTGATGGTATCATTTGTTGTTTACTCTAAAATGATGGACGATTGTTGGATATTTTAGAGTAAACGGTTGATCGGAATAATCTCTCAAGAGATTCATAATTATATATATTACGAATATGGTGGAGGAGTTGTATGTTCGTAAATGATATGATATGGATCGGTAAAACATATGTTTGTTTTGGCAGTAAATCAGTTCATGAGTGAGTGAGGTATACCTCAACCCGAGTGAGGTATCACTCAGTCTTCCTCACTAAAGTAAAATTTTTGTTACGGAAATGTAACTCAGTCCATGTCAAAAGTAACTCAGTCCGTTACTTGTCTGAGAGAGAATTTCGTTTTGCACAGAAATTTATCACAGCACGAGTTAGAAGTAACTCGGACCGCATCAGGGGTATGATGACATGTAAATATTGTCATATTTTCACATCGGATGTCTAGCGCATTTCACGATATTTCGCATATTTATAAATATCCCTTGTACATTTTACTCAGACTTCGATGTTTTTGATATTTTGTAGGAAAAATGGAGTTTTGGACGAAAATGAGCAATTTTTTGAGAAAAAGACATGATCCGGAGCCAACCCGAAAACATTCCGAATACCAAAGAGCCAAAGAAGAAAGACTTGCAAGATGTGTACATTACGAGCTTGATACGTGTGTACCGAGTCTAGAATTTTTAACCCGATTACAACTCACCGTAAAGATACGGATCGTCGTAACACGGAGTCGAACACAAGGACAGGTTGCGAAATCTAAATCCCAATCGAAACAAAATCAAAGCAAGCAATCAATTGTAATGATGGAAGTGTGTAGAATCAATAGAAAATAAGGAAGCAAAGCAACAAAAAACGTGTAACTAGCAAGCAAAGATGACCGTGGGTGTCGGGACCGTATTCGCGTGTATGGATATATGCTAAGCATGTGAGAATCACAATTATGACTTGTATTTGGAAATCGTCAAGCAACAAAGATAGAGAATTCACCTCTCGGTCTACCAACTCACTACCTACAGAGTAACTCGTCAATCTCTTGATCTAGTCAAGTTAACCCTATATGCATGAAGAACGCTATCATCAACCCTAGATCGATTAAACCATATCTCTATGTGAATAATACGATCTATCCTATTGATTTTGATCCGAAACTAAACCCATATCTCTATAAAGTTTGGAATCTGAGATAATTGATTAAGAGATTAGCAAACATCAATCGAATAAAAGCACAAATCAATAGAACCGAAACAAATCAAAATCGAGATCCAAGTTAGGGTTCAAACATACCCAAAACATAAACGAATCCCTAACCCACAGCCGTGGATCTACTCACGGTTCATGGAAAAACACAGAGTAAAACAGGAAACAACGATAAAAGAGGGAGAAGAAAGACTCATGTCGATAGTGATGCAATCTTCACATTCCAACTCTCCTTCTTCTTTTCGAAACCCCGTCAACTTTTATTTCTCTCATCAAAGCTCTCCAAAGTCTGAATCTAAGTGTTCTCTCTGTTCTAAAACGCGGGTAGGTCTTTTTTATAACCCTAGGGCGGTTCGCAAGAGTCCTTTTCCCATTAAAACTCTAAAAATCGCGAATTAGGATTTTTCTGAGCTTGACTCGGCCGAGTCAAGTCGAATGGGATTTCGGCCCATCTGACTCGGCCCAACTGACTCGACCTCTTCACAAATTTGCTTATAACTTTTTGTTCTAGTGTCGGATTTGCGTGATTTTGGTGTTTATGCAAAGCTCTTGAAACGCTCTTTCCAATGGTATAAGTCTCGCATGATTTGGACTTCCGTAGAGAGAGTTATTGATCTCGCAACATGAGTACGTCTTCCGAACTTCATCTCTAAAGCTCCAAAAATGCTCTTTTTCGAGTCCAATCATCTCCGAAACCTGTAACTCTACAAAATTAAAGCACAACCGGGTTTTGTGTCCTAACATGCCTAGAATGTCTATGAATGCATATGATTATCCTCTAAAACATAGACAAACTCTCATAAATCATAGAGAAAAATAGGAGTTATCAAATCCCCCCAAACTTAAACCTTTACTCGTCCTTGAGTAAAGAACGTAGGAATAAAATTTGCAAATGGAGAATGACGAACATCAAATAGCATCATCATAAAACTCAAAAGCAAAACATTCATCCAATGCTAGTTTCCCATGAATCATACCCAAACCGGTCTATTATGGTCTTTCTACCAAAGACTAATCTACCTAGTTATGAGACTTTTATTGCCACTTAGAACCCCTTAGAATCTCTACAACTCATTAAGCATATTTTCGAACCTATCCTTATCTCACCTTATCCGCTTTGATCTAAGTTTTACCTTTTTGTAGAATTTTTCTATCAAACGTTAGCATCTCGGGTTTCTAGGACATTGAAATTGAAGGACATCGTTTTTCTTTTTCTTTTATTTTTTTTCTTTCTTTTCTTTTCTTTTTTTTTCTTTTTTTTCTTTTTTTTTTCCTTTCAATGCGATGTCCGACCGACAATTTAGACCTGAACCATCAATCGATGCACTCATGTCCTCGAACGATTTTCGTTGACGAGATTTTGACAGCGGAGTGTCGAGATGCTTTATTTTCCCAAGCTATTCGTTGAACTAGACTTCATCGACCTGCAAGACTCGAAAAAGGTTCTAAACGAAACGTATAACCTGAATATAGTCGTTTCAACTCCGTAGGTTCCAAATAACAACCCCATCCCATAAACTTTATATAGAAAGTCTGGAGAACTACCAATTCGACACAGTTCAACCATGCTCTACAAAGTCACTAGATCATCAAGATGTTCCTACTCTATCATCCCACAAATCTTCCAAATGATGTTCAAAACGGGTTTTCGAGGTATGCACATGAACCTATATGATCCTAAATCTATATGAAAAATGCAATCATGCAATCCTAACAAAAACTCACTATATGAAAAATATAAAAAAATGTGTTAATGCAACTAATTCAAAGTGATATGAAAAAAGTGAAAATTTTCCTAAGTTTATATGCATGATAAAATGCACCTAAACTAATACATCCTAAGTAGATAGACCTGAATGTGTGAAGGATCTATCCATCCCCTAGACTTGAACCATATACCATCAACGGTGTAGACTCTCGCCCGGAAAAGTAGAATAAAAAACAACGTGTGAAAAGGACCATGTAAGAGAGATAAAGAAGACTTAACTCTGCAA